CCTTTAGGCTCCGAAGGACCCCACCCCACCCCTCAAACTCTTCCCCCTTTTAGATTTTGTCCTTCACTGAGGGACCTGGTCATGCAGGCTTTCAACCCAAAACTCCCACCAGTCCTGAACCTCCCACCTGGGAAATGGGGGTGGTAACGTCTGCCTATGAGGTCAGGGACTGTCTTTTTTGTCATGATGTCCAGCCTGAATGAGCAGATGGACCCACCCCATCATTCCAAGACCACCCCTCCACCAGCTCACAACCATGTGTGTTCATAGACAAACCTTCCCTCTCACCTTAATAGAGTGAGTCTTTTCTGGGGACACTCCCAAAGGTCTGGAGACATGGGCTGGCTTCTGGAGCCGAAGGATGGAGATGGGACCTGAGCCACCCAGCACCCCACAGTGGAGTGGGGGCCCCAAACGTGCATTCAGGATAGCAGAGACCAGCTCCAAGGGCCTTATAGGCCATCTTGTTCCGCTTCCGTGGTTAGAAATGTGGAGTCCACATCCCAGAGGTGAGACGACCAAGGTCACATGTAGGTGGATGCAGAGCCAGGAGAGAAGCTGGGCCACTGCAGCCTGTCTGTGTAATTGCTTCCCATTGCAGTGAAAGTTTAACCATGTCCTCACTGAGGTCCTGGCCTCTGCCGAGCGGGCGTGAGCAGAACAGTTTCCCCCAGGAGGCACATCGCGGTCCCGTGGCCCAGGCGTGCTGATGACCTCCGCAGCGGTGTTGTCTGGTTCGCAGCCTTGCTGAGGGGCAGGGGTGCTGTGAGGCTGCATTCATTACCTGCGGACGTTGTGCTCTGAGAGCAGTGACAGGAGTTTCCGGGCGTTCTCACAGCATGTGATTCCCGAGGGCCCTGGGGCCAGGCATGAGTCGTGGGTCCAAGGGAGGAGTCTCATGCACAGACCTATGCACGGCTGGCTTTTTTCCCCCGCTGCATTCGAGCATACCCTAAGGAGACCAAGTGCCTCCAGGGCCTTGGTTTTATATGAAAGCTGTGTCTAAACCCTAAGTCTGCTTGAAGCCTTTCCACTGCGTTAGTCCAGAGAGCCCGAGCAGGTGTGAGTAGGTGCCACCTGGGTTCTTGCCCTGCTCCTTCTGTTACGTGGATGATAGCAGTGGACCTCTGTTCTCTGCTGTAAAGTTCTGAATCCCTGTGACTTAGAAGCCTGCCAGTCAAAAAAATGCAAAAAAGGTGAACCTTTGGACCCTGTGAGCAGGGTCCCAGTTTCCTGCAGTGGTGCAAGCTAGCAACTCCCCAGTCCTGCCCATCACCAGCCTCCTCCTTTCTTACCACTCCGTCACCCACTCTGGGCCAGTCCCACCACTCTGCTTGTCGTTCCCTGCGTGCTTCATGGTCGGGACAGAGGGAGCTGCAAGCCCAGCCTGCCGTGGTGGCACCTCCCCTCATTTTTCCCGGGACCCCCTGGTCTTGCCCTCCTGGTGGATGGCAGGGAAGGGGTGTCGTTATCACTAGGGTGTTTGTTCAGGAGGTGAAAATCCAAGTCAACGCCAGGTAGAGTGGGGCTGTTACAGCTGCTCCCCAGCCCTCTGGGGACTCCTGTGTGCACACCTCTTACCTGGGCCAGCCTTAAGAAGGGAAGTGTGAAAGTGTCAGTCGCTCAGTCATGGTTGATTCCTTGTGATCCCATCCCACCAGTCTCCTCTGTCCATGAATTTTCCAGGCAGGAATACTGGAGTGGGTTGCATTTCTTTCTCCAAGGGATCTTCCCAACCCAGGGATCAAACCTGTGTCTCCTGCATTAACAGGTAAATTCTTTACTGCTGAGCCACCAGAGAAACCCTAAAAAGGAACAGTTCAGTTCAGTCGCTCAGTCGTGTCCGACTCTTTGCAACCCCATGGGCTGCAGCACGTCAGGCTTCACTGTCCATCACCAACTCCTGGAGCTTGCTTAAATTCATTTTCCATCGAGTCAGTGATGCCATCCAACTATCTCATCCTCTGTTGTCCCTTTCTCCTCCCACCTTCGATTTTTCCCGGCATCAGGGACTTTTCCAATGAGTCAGTTCTTCGCATCAGGTGGCCGAAGTATTGGAGTTTCAGCTTCAGCATCAGTCCTTCCAATGAATATTCAGTACTGATTTCCTTTAGGATGGACTGGTTGGATCTCCTCGCAGTCCAAGGGACTCTCAAGAGTCTTCTCCAACACCACAGTTCAAAAGCATCAGTTCTTGGGTGCTCAGCTTTCTTTATGGTCCAGCTCTCACATCCATACATTACTACTGGAAAAACCATAGCTTTGACTAGATGGACCTTTGTTGGCAAAGTAATGTGTCTGCTTTTTAATGTACTGTCTAGGTTGGCCATAACTTTTCTTCCAAGGAGCAAGCATCTTTTAATTTCATGGCTGCAGTCACCATCTGCAGTGATTTTGGAGCCTGAAAAAATAGTCTGTCACTGTTCTACTGTTTCCCCATCTATTTGCCATGAAGTGATGGAACCGGATGTCATGATCTTAGTTTTCTGAATGTTGAGTTTTAAATGACCTTTTTCATTCTCCTCTTTCACTTTCATCAAGAGGCTCTTTAGTTCTTTGCTTTCTGCCATAGGCTGGTGTCATCTGCATATCTGATATTTCTCCTGGCAATCTTGATTCCAGCTTGTGCTTCATCCAGCCCAGCATTTCACATGATGTACTCTGAATATAAGTTAAATAAGCAGAGTGACAGTATACAGTCTTGATGTACTCCTTTCCTGATTTGGAACAAGTCTGTTGTTTCATGTCCATTTTTAACTGTTGCTTCTTGACCTGCACACAGATTTCTCAGGAGGCAGGTCAGGTGGTCTGGTATTCCTACCTTTTAAAGAATTTTCCACAGTTTGTTGTGATCCACACAGTCAAAAGTCTTGGTGTAGTCAATAAAGCAGAAGTAGATGTTTTTCTTGAACCCTCTTGCTTTTTTGATGATCCAACAGATGTTGCCAATTTGATCTCTAGTTCCTCTGCCTTTTCTGAATCCAGCTTGAACATCTGGCTGTTCATGGTTCACGTACTGTTGAAGCCTGGCTTGGAGGATTTTGAGCGTTACTTTGCTAGCATGTGAGATGAGTGTAATTGTGTGATAGTTTGAACATTCTTTGGCATTGCCCTTCTTTGGGGTTGCAGTGAAAACAGACATTTTCCAGTCTGAAAATGGCCACTGCTGAGTTTTCCAAATTTGCTGGCATATTGAGTGCAGCACTTTCACAGCATCGTCTTTTAGGATTTGAAATAACTCAACTGGAATTACATAACCTCCACTGGCTTTGTTCTTAATGATGCTTCCTAAGGCCCACTTGACTTTGCATTCCAGGATGTCTGGCTTTAGGTGAGTGATCACACCATTGTGATTATCTGAGTCATGATCTTTTTTGTAGAGTTCTTCTGTGTATTCTTGCCACCTCTTCTTAATATCTTCTGCTTCTGTTAGGTCCATACCATTTCTGTCCTTTATTGTGCCCATCTTTGCATGAAATGTTCCCTTTGTATTTCTGATTTTCTTGAGGAGATCTCTAGTCTTTCTATTGTTTTCCTTTATTTCTTTGCATTGATCACTGGGGAAGGCTTTCTTATTTCTCCTTGCTATTCTTTGGAACTACATTCAAATAAGTATATCTTTCCTTTTCTCCTTTGCCTTGAACCTAAAGGCAAAGAAGGAACAGGCAGTTTTATTTTCCTGGCTCACTTTCTTAGTTTTCTGGGCTTCTCCATTCTGCCCTCTGCTGGACAGTCCTGGGAACAGGCTGTGGGGCCTCTGCCTCTGAAGAGCATTTTCCACTGTTGCGGAAGGCACTCTGGGGGTGGGGCATGGAGGCGCCACAGGCAGGCGATGGGATTTCTTTCCAGATGCTGCTCAGTGAGGCTCATTTCCTATTAATATAGGAGGAATCCTCGGGAAGGCTTAGCCTTTGCCAGGGCACCTGGAGCGTTCTTGCTGACCTCTGATCCTGGCATAAGAAGGAAGAAATCTTGCAGTGTCTGAGACATGCAGGCAATGGAAGCCTCTGCCGAAGCTTGAACTTGTAATGCAGCAGTCAGGAGCTCAGGGGAGTCCTGGCTCCCCGTTACTGGTTGTGTTGATCCCTGACAAGCTGGGTGACTGACTCACCCCAGTTTGCCCGGGGCTCCCTGTTTTAGCATTCAAAGTCACATGTCCTGAGCATATCCTCAGTCCTGGGCAAGCTGGGGCAGTTGGTTACCATCCAAGCTGGTTAGCTTCTCCAAGCCCTGATGTCCTGAGCAGAGATGCTAGTATGTACGTTGTAGGGTTGTGGCGAGAATGTCACAGGATAAGTGTGCTTGGAGTGCTGAGCAGGGGTGGCAGCTCTCAAGGGCTGCTGTACCCAAGTACCGTAAAGTAGGTGGCCTGGAACAGCAAAAATGTATTGTCTCAAGTTCTGCAGGCCAGAAGTCTGAGGCCATATTCCCTCCGGACCGTAGGAGAGCACTGCCTTTCTTCTGATAGTTTGCTGATGGTCTTTGGTGCTCCTTGACTTGTAGACGCCTCACTCCCATCCTCCGTCTTCACATGGCATTCTCCCTGTGTCTCTGTCTTACCTCTGTGCATGTCTGTCTTTGCATTCAAATTTCCCCTTTTAACTAGGACATGGGTTTTACTTGATTAGAGGTCACCCTAATGACCTCAGTTTTTAACTTGATTACTTCTGTGAAGATCCTACTTCTAACTAAGGTCGCATCTGAGGTTCTTGGGGTTAGGACTTTAATATATCTTTTTGGAGGGGACACAATTGAACTCATAATGGCAGGGTTAACTGTAACTATTATTGTTATTTGTATCATTATCATTGCAATCATTATCATTGAGAACTCAAGACTATCTAAGAAACAGCTCCAGTATTCAAGAGGAGAAGACAGGGGACCCCCATCATGAAAAAGAGCTGACCTGGTTGTTGGAATTCATACCTGGGAACCATTTTAGCACAAAGGCTATAGGAACCACCCTGCTGACCTCTGGGCTTTTGCTTTCTGTGGTGTAGATGGAGCAGATGCGGAATGAGCTACTTCAGGAGCGAGCCATGAAGCAAGACTTGGAGTGTGACAAGATTTCCCTGGAGAGACAGGTGAGGGCAGCTGGCCCCATGAGCCCCCCGACCCTCCTCATGGCTTTGGACTAGAGCCCTGTGGTTGAACCTTCTTTGCACAGCATGCCCAAGAACTCTGGAGCATAACTCATCTGAAAGGTAGGGGTTTTTCTAAGGCCTTTTCCGGAAAGGTTATGCCCAGTAATTTTAAATGTGCTTGTAAGTTTAGCAACTGCAGAGAAGTAGAATTGCAAGTGTTGTTTTCTAGATCCTAAAGAAGGCTAAATTCAAATGAAAAGAGTAAAATAAAGTGTTAATACTTCTCTGGCAGTCCAGTGGCTAAGATGCCTCACTCCCAATGCAAGGGCCCCGAGTTTGATCCCTGGTTAGGGAACTAGATCCCGTATGCTGGAACTAAGAGTTTGCATGCCACAACTAAAGATCAAAGATCCTGCATACTGCAACTAAACTAAGACCTGTCACAGCCAAATAAAATTTAAAAGCCAAAAACCAAAAACCAGTATCCTTTTGTTTTTTGTCCAGAAAACAAAAACCAAGTCCAGTGCATGTGTTGATAACAAATCTTACTTGAATCATTGTATCTTTAACATGCCATTCATGTAAGTTCTTCACTGAATATGACATATGATATTTCTGAAGGAGCCGATTTCTCCTGTCCCACACCAATAGGTTTATAAAAGGCCAAGGTCAGGTTCATTTGTCTGTTACCCAGGAGTCTTAGGACATGCCAGAGATTTCACTCAGGCTTATAAGGAATGTGGTAGAACCTCTTGTTTTGGCTTGTCAGGACACGAGTGCAAATCTTTTTCCTGGAAACATCCCCAGGTCTCCCAGCGGCACCCATCTGAAGGTGAAAAGCAGGGTTATCCCAGTCATTGACACACACTGGCCCGCCCTCTGCCCTGCACAGAGGGTGTGGTAGACACAGCCCCTCATGGTCTCCCTGTCTGATTCCAGAACAAGGACTTAAAGAGCCGGATTATCCACCTGGAAGGTTCCTACAGGTCCAGCAAAGAGGGCCTGGTGGTGCAGTTGGAGGCCAGGATCGCAGAGCTGGAGGACCGTCTGGAGAGCGAGGAGAGGTGAGCCGGCTCCAGCCCTAGTGCACAGGCCCTGCTGGGCACTGGGCGTCACGTTACGGAGTGCTTTTACCCCTGTATCTCTGCCCATCCTCCTAACCTGTGAGGAAGGCAGGGCAAGTACAGCCTTGCTGGAAAATAGTTTCCATTTTGTAGATGAGAAAATTGATTCCCACCAAATAGGTAACTTGAGGAAGGTAGCCTGGAAGGATATTGTTGCAGCAGGACTAAGACTTGGGACTCCCATTGCTCAACTCTTAGTTGTTCCTTTCTCTACACCTTAAATAGGGTAGGCTGCCTCATGAGTTAATGAGTTTGAGCTGAATTAGATGAGAAGGGGCTGACTGTGCTCTAGGGGCTGGGTGTGTTCAAGCAGAGGCCGAGGGGCCATCTGTCAGAGATGGACACGTGGGTGGGAGGGCCACAGGAATGACCATACCCTCTCCTGCACCATGATTATCTGCAGCTTGTCCTTAGATCACGGCCCAAGGGCCAGCTCCTCAATTCTTACTAACGGCCCCTCACCTTCCTAGAAGTTGTGTGTGTCTCTGTGTGTATGCGTGTGTAGAGCACTTTACATTATCCATTTTCAGGAAGACTTTAGAGACTGAGTCAGGGCAGTAAACGTAAATATTGACAGCCTAGCAGTCTGTGAACCTCTGCCTTACCAAGTGAAGCCTGGGACTGGGAGAAGTCAGGGCAGGTCTGACCCCAGCTCAGCCTCCCTCTGGCTCTGCAGCCTCAGGCAAAGTCACCCCCCTTCTCAGAGCCCCTGTTTCCTCATCTGTCCATTGAGCAGCGCTTTCCTCCTGTACAGTTGTGAGTCTCCCTGACCCTAAGCCTGCATCTACCATGCCACCTGGGGCTGGCTGCCTATGGGACTGGGACGAGACTGTCTTCTGTTCTGCCCTTCCAGGGACAGGGCCAGCCTCCAACTGAGCAACCGCCGGCTGGAGCGGAAGGTGAAGGAGCTGGTGATGCAGGTGGACGACGAGCACCTGTCACTGACTGATCAGAAGGACCAGGTCGGGGACCCTCTGCGAGTTCTTTTGAGATTTAGTGTGGGCTGGGGAAGCCAGATGGAGGGGAGGGCTCCGAGGATGGACAAGCGGTGAAGTTGAGTGGACCGAATTGTCTCTTTCCACTCCACCCCTTATGGCATGGAATGGGGCCTTTAGAGCCCACTTCAGCAAACTTCAGACCCTGAACTTGGCTTTGAAAAAGTGAGATTTTCTGTCTTAGAGTCTTACCTCCACTTTTGCATGAGTCCTGTTTCCCACTTTGCCGTATCTTGTTGCTTGGAGAGAAGGGGTCTGGACTGCTGGCCTTTTCTTGCTGGGCTGGGCCATCCACCATCTCACAGCCTGCACTTCCCCCTACTCTGCCCCCTACCCCCACCCCTGCAGTTGAGCTTGCGCTTGAAGGCAATGAAGCGACAGGTGGAGGAGGCCGAGGAGGAAATCGACAGGCTGGAAAGTTCTAAGAAGAAGCTGCAGAGGGAGCTGGAGGAGCAGATGGATGTGAATGAACAGCTGCAGGGCCAGCTCAACTCCATGAAGAAGGACTTAAGGTGGGCACGTGCGTCGACGCCCCCAGGGGCTGTGGCAGCCCTGACGTTGGAGGGGAGCACGATGCTCTCAGAGCCTCTCCTGTTGTCTCCCGCCACTGTGGCCACTTTGGGGTCATCCCGTCCTAGAGATGACAGTGGCTATATCTACTCCATTCACCCCATGTGCTCAGCAGGTATCTCATGTGTCATCCTCATACCACTGCCCGGTGTCCTCAGGGCAGGTATTATCCCTGTCATCCGAAAGGGGAAACTGAGGCTCAGGGCAGGTCAGACCAGCTTACACCACCCTGTAGAGAGGAGTTCCTGGGCCAGCCCCTAGGTTGCCTGGATTAGGGAGAAAGGAGATGAAGTTGTGGGTTCCTCTTCTCAGGAGGACTAGGATATCCCAAGCCTGGTTTCTGGAAAGAGCTGCTCTTTCAAGCTCCCTGGGCACAGCAAAAGGATAGGGGATTAATGGGGGGGGGTGGGGGGTGAAGGGACATTGCTTTCCTTGCCTCATTGTCACTGCTTAGGGCATTGGAGTGAGAGGTGGATTTATGTTTATCCTTGTTCATAAAGCTGGGCTTTTCCTGGAGGCTGATGGTGACTGGAGGCTTCTTGCCAGCTGCCCAGGCACTTCTCTCATAAATGCACCAAAGAGCCTGTTGAGAATCCTGTAAACACAGCACGTCTGTCTATCAAGAATCCAGCCCCAGGTGGGCATTAGGAGGCAATATATAAGGGGGCACCAAAAATCTTAATCAAAATGCAGTATTAGAAAAATTAGTGCAAACCACCCATGGTGCACAGGATGATAAGATTTCACATTAAGATGGGATTTACGGCAGGACCCTGCCAAGCCACCTGGGAGCTTGAGGCAGGAGGGAAAGTCAGGACGACTGACCTTGACCCAGCCCCACCCCGCTCTCTGTCGGCAGCAGCCTCAAATGCTGCCAGGTGGGCAGTTTGCTCCCTGCTGCTGTACCTGCTCAGGTGCCACCCACTGGGGTGGAGAGACAGGCACCTTGAACCCCTGCATCTCTAGAGAGGAAGTGAGCCTCAGTCCACAGCCAGGAAACATGCCCCCTGTTGTTTTACAGACTTAAGAAGCTGCCAAGCAAAGTGCTGGATGACGTGGATGACGATGACGACCTCAGCACGGATGGGGGGAGCCTCTATGAGGCACCGCTGAGCTACACCTTCCCCAAGGACAGCACCGTTGTCAGCCAGATCTGAGCCCACCTCCAGGGGCCGCAGTGGGAGGTGTGAGAGGGAGCGCCATCGCCTCCTTTTCGCAGACCAGGCATCTCCTCTTGGCATCACATCTTCCTACGATCTCCCTGGTAGCACAGCTCTGCTGGCGTGGGCAGCAGCTCTTGCAGGGTATGTGTTGAGATGCCCACGGCCACTTGGCAGGATGGAGCCCCCTTCTGCACAGCTGTCTGCCGCACCATCTGCATTGCTGCTCCTCCCCCACGTTCCCCTGTCAAGAGAAAGGATCCAAAGGCTGGTTCCTATTCAGTAGCCCTGGTGTGGGGGAGGGGATGATGTATAGACTGTATATATTTTAAAAAATCAAACCTTCTCCTAGACTGCTGCTGTTCTATTTTGGAATGTTGCAGAGGCTTCATGGGGTGGCTTGTTTGTAAAGTTCACATGTGTCTATTGAGTATTATTTTTAAAAATACAAAGCTACTAGATTTTTAAATATTATGGAGCCAGAGGCAAGAAGGAGAAGGTAGAATAAAGACCACTCTGGACCTCAGAGTTGGAAAAAGGAATTGTTGAGGGAATGAGGGACAGTTAATCCTGAAAAAAGAAGCTCAGGTGGTTTTAGTGAAGAACTCCCTGAAGGAAGGAGGGGAGGGTAAGTCTGAGGTCACTTGTATCTATGGTCCTTGGTTGCTTATTTTATCTAGAATTTTGTTATGATTTCTGAACCACATTGAATCGATTCTGGTCACTAATTGCAGTTTCTTTTGTGCAGGTAGAGTGGGGAGACTTGTTTGTAAGGTTTTTCCACAAATGATATGGTTTCTGGAGGCTGGAGCCTTCCTGTCGTTTCTTATTGGTTCCTTCCTTCCCCTTCCTAGAGCAGGTCTGCAATCTATACTCTTGGGGCCCCTGGACCAGTTGTTGGTGGGTGGGCACTGGGGGGGTTTGGGGAGCAGGTTCACGGACTTAGACTTGAGGAAGAGGCAGGTGATGGGGAAGGAGGAGAGATGAGCAGGTGTGTGGGGGTGTAGGTAGGAAGGAGGAGGAGAAGTTCTTGAAAGCTGGGGGATGTGTAGAGAAGAGGTGGGTTGAGCAGGATCCCAGGTTTATGTCAGGAGAGGGAGAGAAGCAGCAGAAGTCAGAGAAATGTCTGTACAAATTGGAAGAATCCTTCTCACTTCTGGGACGAGGGATAGGGGCCAACCGAGGCAGGAGTACCTGGGACTGGGTGAAGTCTGGGCAAGTCAGGGTCCCTGGGATGGAATTTTAGGGAGGCATTGGGAGTCTGCAGGGTATCCAGCACTTCCTCCCAGGCTTCCTGTGGGAGTTCCCAGGCTCACCCAGAGGCCAGGTCATCACAGCTAGTCAGGCCCATGGCCAGGGAGGGAACCCTGCAAGTTGTATGTGTGTGAGTGTTGGCTGCCTCACAGTGTCTCGATGCATCCTGGAATGTGAGAAGCCTGTGACCCTGACACGCCCTGACAGTTGCAGTGGGGAGCAAGGAACCTCAGTGCCCTGCCTACCCCAGGTCACAGAACCCACCCATCAGGATTCAGAACGGTCAACCCCGTTCATGGGTGGGTGTCGTCACCCACTGTGGGTGAGGCCCCCAGAGCAGAAGCGCGAAGCCTTCCTCTACCTCTGCTGGGTGGGGTGCCTCTTGCCTCTGCTTACTTGTTTGGAGAATGGAGACATGCCTCCCTTTAACCATTCATTCATTTAGCAAATACTTATTGGACATCCATGATACCCCAGCCTTCGGCACTGGGAACACAGCAGGGAATACAGAGGCTCACAATCGGTACCTTCCTGGAGCGTTGTCAGGGGAGAGGGTGACAGACAACAGCCACACTGATGATCACGGGCAAAGCCTCTCCGAACGCATCCCGCAGCCCCTCCATCCTCCTGGGGACGCAGCAAGCCTGTGGTTGGTGGACTGGCTCACTGGAACCCCGAGCAGTCCTTCGACTCTCACACGTCGTTGAGTTCCCCGCTGCTTCCACCACCATTAGGTATTTGCCAAGAAGCCTGCCCAGCAGTGTTTCATGTTTCATTCTTACGGATTGGAGATAGAAAAGGTTGGGGCCCAAGAGGCTTGGGAGCGCGTCAGCTTGTGTCTTGGTTTGTGAGGAAGTTACTGCCTCTAATTCTGGCCAGTTCCTTCCGGTAGCCACAAGGCAGGCTGCAAGAAGCACACTGTGAAAAGAGAACAGAGTTCACCATTCAGAAGTCTTGCATCTTTACCCTAGAGGGGAGACATTACCCATGTCGACCAACTCACCCTTCTGCGCTGTAACAGGACTGGCGGTGAGCCGGATGCATGCAGTGTGCTGAGCTGCAAGGAACACCGGCCTCGGAGCTGAGATAGATGGCGTCAAGTTTTGGCTCATTTCAGCCCAGTGACCTTGATGGAATGACCTTGAGATAAGCATGCTCACAGCAACAAACTGCGGGATGAATTGAGGACCAGGGCTCAAGGTCCTTGCCAACCCTGACGTGCTATTGTTCTTTGATTTTATATACACATATACGTTTTCTTCTGTTTGTTAAGAACTAACTCTACTCAAGAATATTTCCTTTAGCTAGTTTTAAAAGAAAAAAAAATTTTATTTAATAAACAAGTATGTGGCCAAATGCTGTGCTGAAGAGACAATCATCATATAGCTTTATAATTTTTCTTCCTGCTTCTGAGTGTCATCCGACGAGGCCGATAGGCTTATTGTGTTGGGTTTCTGCTTGCGGGTCTGGTTTGATTGCCTTGGTTTGTCACATGGAGGAAATTATCTTGGCAGCTGCCTCCTGTAAGTGAACTCCTAGAGAAAGTGAGTTTGCCTTTCAATAAACGATATCGCCCAACAGGAATCTTGACTCTCCCGTTATTTCGGCTTCCTTGTTTTCTCCAGATCTTGGCTCCCTGTCTGCCAAGCAACAGCCCAGCTGAATGGCTGGAAAGTCCTCAAGGTAGAGAAACCTGGGGCATTCCAGGCTGGGAGTTGGGTGGGAGGGGGTGAGGGGGGAACACAGAGGATTAAATGTACCCGGATTGTTGTGATGGTCTGAGAAATCCGGACGGCCCATTTCCAGAAAATGGCAAAAGGTGAAGTGTGTTGGTAACTGAGAATGAACAGGCACCTTCTGTCTAGTCCTCATCCTGAACTGTGCGCTGTGTGTATATCATCTCATTCGATTAACAGCAGGTTCCACGGTTGCCCTTTTATATGAAACAGAAGTCACTTCTGCGTGCAAGGGACCTACACTGCTTCTCCTCTGCTCTCAGCTGTGCTCGCCCTGTCCTCTGGAGGCTGAGCCCTGCAGGCCCTGGGGCTCCCCCGGGGGTCAGCTGGGGGAAGCAAGTGAAGGTCAGTGTTTCTCTGCTTGTCACTCCCTCCTCGGTGTAGTGTTTCTGGCTGTGGTGCCTGTCGAGTGGCTATACCTCCTCCAGCTCCCAAAGTGATCAGGGCTGCCCGCTGCCGTTCCTCTGGGCCCTTCAGCAGGCCTGGCAGGTTCTCCGCGCACTGCTTCCCCATGGGGAGTTTCTTCAGTAAACCCTTTGTGCCGCCACAGGCAACTGCTGCTTCCTGCCCAGAGCTGTGCCCACTGCCTCCTCAGCACTTCCAGTGATGCCTGCCCATCCACCTATCCTGAAGCCCTTGACTCTCTCTGTTCTGACTAAACAGAGCATCTCAGATATTAATGGGGATTTCTAATTTTAATAAGTCCTTGAAGTTTTTCCATAAATTGTTTGCCTTTTTTTTTTTTAAGCATCAGAATTATTGGGGTATAATTTTGTCATTTATAGATAGGTAAAAGACACCCTTTTGCACTAGTTGCTTTTGAAACTGTAATCTCTTTGACCTCTATGCTAGGGTCCTCCTGGTGGGCATAAGAGACCCTGAGAGGTTACCTGTTAGGTTAGACCTGTGGGGGGGTGTGTGTGACTCAGGACCTCAGAGCCAGAGAGAGTAAGTCCTTTCGGGCTTGCAGCTCCTTCCCCCACGTTCTCAACCTTCCTTCTTTGAGCTTGTGGATGGGTACAGCGGTTCTGTCTTGAGGAAGAAGGTCATCAACCAGGAAGCTTTCTACTCAAAACTTTCAAAGGACAGGAGAAAATGCCTCGACAGCAAGTTCCTATCAGCAGCCAAACAGCCCCAAATCCAGAAATTCCAGGCTTGGTGGAGGGATCAGCAGACTTGGTCTGCTCTCAAATCTGCACTGAAAGTCATGGTGGACATGCACGTGTATGACCTGAGGTCCGGCCTGTCTCATCAGCAGAGCACGAGCTGAGTGTGTGCCCCATGCTGGGTTCGTTAAAGCTGGAAAGACTGGCAGTGCCCTTCCAAGAGACATTCAACAAGAATACCTATTCTGTGAGGGAAGTTTGCAAGTTTCCTACTGTAAGCAATCTCACTTAATCTCACAACAGATTGTCAACAACTCCTCCCGGATGGGGAGCATGGTTCCAGAGGTTTTCTAGGTAAACAAAAATAAACGCTTTTATGAGAAAGGCAGAAGTGTTTGCAGGGAAGGGATCTGAGGCTTGGCAGGGCTGGGCATTTTCCCATAGGTTGCATCTGAAGTAAGTATGACCTGCCAGTGTGGGCTAGGTGCTGCTGCAGATACAAGGTTTAAGGTACAGTCTAGGACCTTTATATGCTTACAGTTTGATTACAAAATGATTATTAAAGTGGAAATTAGATATAAATATTAAGTCCTTCGTATATGTATGGAACACCAAATTTGTCTTCTCTCGGGCTTTGCCAGCCCTTCTCTCTAGTTAGTTTTGCCATTTCCCCCTGGTTTTACACATAAAATTTAGTAGCTAAGTGTGTTGAGCACTTACGTGCCGTGTATTGGGTGAACGCTTTACGTTTATTGACTCCTTGAGCCTTCTGACCACCCCTTGAGCAGGTGCTTGTGGCAAGTGAGGCAGCCCCAACAGAGGGAGTTATTGACCTTACCCAGGGCGTAGGGGGCTGGTGGAAGAGCCGGGAGTGGAGTCTGAGTGTGTGTCTGGAGTTCACACTCGGTGCTAGCAATCTCTGCTGCCTCCCACCCACACCCTCCTCCCTGGAGGACGAAGATCTTCCATGCGTTCCTGGGTTAGGGCCTCCTGAGGTCTCTTGATCTTCCTCTTTCAGATCTCCCCTTCATTTGTGAGTCTATGCAGCTCAACAGCCTGTTGTCTGCCTCATCAAAGGGCAACCTCTTTGAGAAATCAAACTTTTAGAAATCAAAGTCAACCTCTGAAGTCACAGACTTAATGGATGAGGCTAGTCACAGATCTCAGCTGCTCTTTTAGCAGACTTAGGGGTACCACTTCCTACTTTGATCTTTGGATCTCTCGTTGTACCACTGATGGCCTTTTGGTGCTGTACTAATGTAACTTGCCTGGGCCTGACCTGGTGGTAGTGTGCTGGGGTGGTCATTGGGCCTTCCCACCATCTCGCTGTGTGCAAGGTAGTCTTGGGTAACACCAGTAAATCCTTGGGTTTGGGTGAGTCTCAGGGAATGTTGACCTTCCCAATCCCCAGAAGACTTTGGGATGAGAACCTTCTAGAATTGTACATAACAATAATAGTCTTCTTGCGTTATGCACCTTTCATATTAGTCTTACATTCAAAACTGCACCTGCCACCTGAAATCAGCAGGTTGTCCTCGATGGGACACTATTGACTATGGTCACTAATGAAACCCCTCACCCCGGAGCAGCTCTTTAAAGAATATGGGGTGGTTGGGCTGAAATCTGGGAACCTTTGACAGCAGTGGGCTGCCTTCTGGAGGTAGCACGTGGTTTCTACTGGGCTGATTGGGACTGGGCTCTGGGTCCCTGCCAGTGTGCAGGGTCTGACCAGTGTTCAGGGAGGGAGGAAGTCTGCTGGGCACAGCCAGCTTCAGGACTGGGCACAGCAGCTTCAGGGCCTTTACCAAGGTCGTCCTGAAGGAAGGGGATCCCTCTGCGCCCCCTCCCCCAGTCCCAGGAGTGGTTGGACTCCAGCTGTGGAAGCTGACTCCGCGGTCTGTCAGCTAGGGTGGGGTGATGTGTGCTGGGTGGGAGAGGTGGTGGGCACCTGCCTTGCCATCCACACAAGACAGAGAGCCTCCCTCCTGAGCCCCACCTGGGACAGTCAGGTTTGCCCTGTGGATGGACCTTATCTTGGGGCAGTGGGAAGGATTCTTTCTTAACATCTGAAATCCCTCAACAGAGTAGAAGCTGCACTTGGGCAGACTGCTGTGGGCAGGAATCTTTATCTGATTTAATCTGCAGCCTGCAAGGTAGGTGGTGTTACCCCCTTTTGCACATTAGGGAACATATATGTGCAGAACAAGAAGTCACCAACTAGTCAGTAGTGGGGGTGGGGATGAAGTCCCCTGTCTGCTGCTCTTACTGGTCAGGCTTGCCTCACACCTTGGCCCTTCTCCCTTGCTGCCCCTCTGAACAACCACTGCTGACTCCCCTGACTGCGGACAGTTAGGCGCAAGGGCTGGGAGTTCGTTGGTGGTCACGGTGCCTGGCTTCTGATTTGCAAACTTGCACTTGGACTGTGAGGCCTGGGTGAAAGGAAAGCAGCCCGCCTGTCCACTCCTTTCTGCAAGCCCCCTCCTGCCAGCTGCTGGCTGCCAGCCTGGCTAACCTCATTCCAACCACCTGGCCTCCTTGCCCTTCCAGGACAGCCTTGTTTTCCAGGAAAGAACTTAGAAAATAAGATGAACCGGCTGCATCCG